AGTCGTAAAAACGTCAAGGTATAGTAAGGAATAAAAAGTCATAAAAAGTCATAGTATAGTAAGGCATAAAATGTCAGAAAAACGTCATAGTATAGTAAGGCATAAAAAGTCATGAAAACGTCATAGTATAGTAATGCATAAAAAGTCATAGTATAGTAAGGCATAAAAAGTCATAAAAACGTCCCATTATTGTAAGGCATAAAAAGTCATAGTATAGTAAGGTATAAAAAGTCATAAAAACATCATAGTATAGTAAGGCATAAAAAGTCATAAAAACATCATAGTATAGTAAGGCATAACAAGTCCTAGTTTAGTAAGGCCTAAAAAGTTATAAAAATGACATAGTATAGTAAGGCATAAAAAGTCATGAAAACGTCATAGTATAGTAAGACATAAAAAGTCATAGTATAGTAAGGCATAAAAAGTCATAAAAACATCACATTATTGTAAGGCATAAAAAGTCCTAGTTTAGTAAGGCCTAAAAAGTCATAAAAATGACATAGTATACTAAGGCATAAAAAGTCATGAAAACGACATAGTATAGTACGGCATAAAAATTTGCAAAAACAACATAGTACAGTAAAGCATAAAAATGTCATAGTGAACTAAGGCATACAAAGTCATAAAAACATCACATTATTGTAAGGCATAAAAAGTCCTAGTTTAGTAAGGCCTAAAAAGTCATAAAAATGTCAGTATAGTAAGGCATAAAAAGTCCTAGTTTAGTAAGGCCTAAAAAGTCATAAAAATGTCAGTATAGTAAGGCATAAAAAGTCCTAGTTTAGTAAGGCCTAAAAAGTCATAAAAATGACAGTATACTAAGGTATAAAAAGTCATGAAAACGACATAGTATAGTACGGCATAAAAAGTTGCAAAAACAACATAGTACAGTAAAGTATAAAAATGTCATAGTGAACTAAGGCATAAAAAGTCATAAAAACATCATAGTATAGTATGGCATGAAAAGTGATAAAAATGTCATTGTATAGTAAGGCATAAAAAGACAAAAATTTCATAGTATAGTAAGGCATAAAAAGTCATAAAAACGTCATAGTATAGTAAGGCATAAAAAGTCATATTATAGTAAGGCATAAAAAGTCGTAAAAACGTCATAGTATAGTAAGGAATAAAAAGTCATTAAAAGTCATAGTATAGTAAGGCATAAAAAGTCAGAAAAACGTCATGGTATTGTAAGGAGAAGTACAGGAGCTGTGTTGGTTGATTTATTACAAACCCCCCTGCAGGAGACAAACATTTACAACACACAACTACCACACTCCAGCTGGTTTATCTGCACTGAAAACTGTCACAAGTTCCCACTGTAAAAACTTGGCACATCTGTTCAACAACATTTTCAACGATGACTTGTCTGGACTTTGCACCATATCATTTAACAGTAACCTCTCACTCCTTCTGTCTCTGTCTGGTCTCTCTTTCTATCCTTCTGACCCTTTCCCTCTCTCTAACATTATTTCGTACAACTATCACAAATAACAATGTCAATTGTTCTCACTTTAAATACTGAGACTGGGTTCAACTGTGTTTCCTCTTCACACTTAAACCTTGCATTGGTGTCATACCTGGTAAGTTTAATATCTTGGATGAAAATCAATAGTGGGTGGATAGTTCCACTTGTAAGACTGAGATAGTTTAGTAAGACAAGGGGCACATTAGCAGATCACTCCTTTTGCTGATACAAAACGAGGCAGTATCACTCATGACCACAAGGTGGCAGGATGGCCACAGTGCCATGTCACACCAGATGACAAGAAGTTTGGAGACCTTTATGTCATTCAACCAAGCATCTTAAAGAACAGTCTTAATCTAAGTTAAAATTGAAGTTGTTATTTCAGTTGCTTTGCAGTCTCTCACTGTGTGTGAACTTATGTTGTCCCCCTCAAACCAAGATGACTGGGTATCGTGTGTATTGTGTATATTGTATTTATTGGTGTATATTGGGTGTATATTGGTGTATATTTGGTGTATTTTTGATGTATATTTCCATAGATGTTTATTCCATAGATGTTTATTTTCTGCTGTGGTGAGTGAATTTCCCAGTTGTGGGGTTGATAAAGTTAATCTAATCTAATCTAATCCAACCTAACCATGAAGTAGGCTCAGACAAAGTCCTTCCATGAAATTCAAGGCCCAAATATTGCAAATATCCCAGGTTTTTATCTTGGAAACTGTCTGCATGACAACATTAAGATTTAGTTTACTTTTAAATAGGCCCATGAGAGCACACAGGGATGCTACTGTATCTATTCATCTAATATAACATTTGGTTCAAACTGTGAAATCCTAATTTATTCATCCTTCTAAGAGCAGTGTCAGGCTTGGTACTTTGAGAATATATCATTTAAAATCTAGTTCTGGTTTCCGGCATTGAGTGTGTGCATGTTGGTTAATGATTGGACAAAGCCTAGACAAAAGGAAGTATATCAATTCTTAAATTTGGTGAATTCTACTTTGTCTAGTCTTAGACCTTAACACCAGATAAAACTGTGAATGTCTGTAATAATCATTCATGAGAATTTCTTGGTTACGTTAAACAGTGCTCAGATCACACAAAAGAATTACTTCCTTTATAAACCTTTACACACTTTTTTGTGAAGACTGATGTTGGTAGTTTCACAGTTTAGCCCCAGTATAATTGTTGAAATACTGAATTTGTTGATGCACCACAGATTGTTGTTGGAGCCCTGCATTATGTTGACATACTGAGATGGGAGTTAAAATTAAGGGTAGCTGTTGCCAGAGGAAGCAGAAGTAGAGGAAACTTAATATCATTGAAATTATTACACATTGCAAAAACATAAGGCATGTTGAATTTATTTCTCCTGCACCTACAAGTGAAAAATGCAAACAAATAAATAAACACACAAACAAATACACAAAAATAATATTACAATACAAACATAGCATTCAATCTTCCCAAACCTGTACATGACACAGACACTCAGAATTACAAGTGCAGTGCAAAGGAAACATTTCCCCAAAAAGCAAAGCCTGAAAACATTTCCTCTAATCAATCTGGAACAAGGTTATTGTTTTATGAGGAATGTCCTCTGTTTACACTGAGGCCTGCCTAATGTCCAACACAGCATAACAAAAGACTGTTTTGCAGATGACACAGCCTAAAGACTATGCTTGACTTTGTACCGTACACCAAGAGACTAACGTTCCAGATTTGATGGACAAAGTATTGTTTATATGCCTTTTAACAGAGCCCCCTGGTAGCTACAGAGACAATATTAATATAGAGAAGCAGAGGGAGGGGGAACAGGGAGCGTCCAGTCAGACATGCACAACATGCAGCTGCTGTGTGCATGCAGGACAACTACGTTCATCATATCGGCTATACGGAAAACAAATTCTTATTTTTCAAATGCTACATTTTTTTAACCTTGAAAAGACATTTTTATTATTTCAGAATAAAGTTAAACAGATTTCTTGCAATATAAGAGCCTGGGATGCAAAACTAGAATTCAACATAAAAGCAAGAGAGACAAAAAAAAAAAATTATATTCACAGCATAACAATTTAAAGTATTCCTTCATCGATCATATGATATGTGTGGAGTCACTATATACAAATATAATATAAATACAGTATCTGATGAAATAAATAGCATGTAAATAACGATCATACTGTCACTCAAGCAAAGCTACATCTCAGGGAGTGCAAAAACTGTCCCAGCCTACATCCAAAAGTTACACACTGCGACCTGACTACACATGTCAGAATCAGACAGTTTGTAAAAGCCAAAAAAAAAAAAATCAAACTGCACACAAACACTGAAAAAGCTTTGGATCAGCAGAAGGTTATAACAATGTTGAAACACTAGAGGGAGATAGTTGCTGACGATCAATGACTTCACCATGTTTACACTAACATGCTACTGTTAAGTCTACATGACCTATAATCTGAAAAAAAGAAGCTGAATGAGTGAAAACTACAGTCCTTTTTTTTTTTCGAAATCTGAAGATTTCTAAGCAGGATTTACTGTGTATAAAACTTAATGCTTGTAAATTGGCAATTGTGGGGAGATTGACCTACACTAGTGGAAGGCACTGATAAAGTTTTTAATTTTGTATCATTCATGTGGACATTTTTTTCTTAAAAAAACAGCTCTCCATTCTCATGGGAGGTCTTTAGGCAAAGGCAGACTAAAGACAAATACAGAATTAATTGTTCCATCAATGAAAAAGTCGGCCCATTCATTAAAATATATCAAATTTTCCATCTCAAATTATTTTTATATTTCATTTTAGTGTCTTTTCTACATTATATTTGAAGGCTTAAAAGCATTTCGCCATACCCAGCCCACTGAGGGTGCATAGTGGCTTAGAGAGTCACCCTGGTTAAGAGTGAAGCATGCTAAGCTGAGGGTCAGGGGTCAGGTTGAAGGCCATTAACACAGTTACATCCCAAGCTGAAATCATGCAAGTTTAATGCAGTGACCATCATGACAGAAAGCGTTTTTGGGGCTCTCACTCCAGGACATGGCACAGAAATGCACAGGCAACAGAACACAGACAACAGCACAGAGACACAAGCTCAGACATCTCTCTGTCACACTATCTGTATATGCTACATCTCTATTATACCCACTGTATTTCATTCCCTCCATGCTCTCAGCCTTTCTTTCTCTCTCAGGCTGTCAGAGGAAGTGTGATGTCTCGTGCAACCACACTCTCCACTGAGGAATGATGAGCACACACACACACAGCGACATGCCATTTCCTCAAAACCCTCATGCAACGCAGCTCGTTTTCCTTGAAGGCAAATCAGCCCAACACTTTACAAATTCTCAGCCTGTCCATTTCTCATGCCCCCTCAGTCGCTTGTACAACTCTGAAGCTTCCTCAGCTGTCCTCACACTTGGCTCTCAAGCTATCTCTCACATCAGTCCTTTATTTCCATTTCTAAACTTCCTGATTTCCTCTTGATTGATGAGATTGCGTGGGCGTGTTGCCCTTTTGGGGGGGGGGGGTCCAGGTTCGGCAGGCTCCCGCTGGCCACAAACAGCTGTAACTCAGGCGGGAAGCCTGGGCTCGATCTTCAGCGAGAGATCATAGAGTGTGTCTTCATCCATGATCAGAGTCTTATCCAGAAGGTACTGCGTCACCTGGACAGAAGACATAAAAGAGGAGAGATGTAAGTTTCAGAACAGCAACCAGCTTCATTTTTAGCAACTATATAACTTCATGGTTACAAATCTACTGTATGTTTAGTGATATGTGATGTGTTTACAGAAGAGTACCTTGGCTTGATGCTCTATTCTGTAGGGAGTCTGCTGGAACTGTCGTATCTCTCTGATGATATGGGATATCTAAAGAAAGTGTGGGATTCAAGTTCACAAATAAAGTACATAGTACATGTGCATGTGATTTGCATCCCCTTTTGTACATTTTTATGCATGTATGTGCCTACCATTCTCATTTTGGAGAAGTTAACAAGACCTTCCTCAGTAAAATTGGGCGTCCCTTCCTCAATAAAGGCCAGATCTGTTAGATACATTCCCAGGTATGGCACACATGGAGGGTTGCAGCTGTAGGAAGATAGTGTGAAGTGTGAAGGAATAAATGTGCATGACGAATCATCTCAGAGTCAATAAAAGCACATTTCCTATTGTCTCATTTTAGAAAAATCTCACTTTTTCAAAGTTTCCCTCAGATTTTTAAATCTTCCCTCAGAGGACACGGTCTTCTGCAGTTTGTCCATCAGGGCTTTAGTCTGGGAAAGACGACAAATACGCATTCAAAATCAGTTTAAAGATCATTATGAACAATTGGGGACAAATAAGACGTTTGCACTAACCCAAGATCCACTTACTCTTGATAAAAGATGACGATAATAGTAATAAAATGACAAAATCTAATTTGCCTCAGTCCTGAAGAGGCAGAATGGCTTAGTGGAGAGACAGACTGTCTGGTGATTGGATAATTATGGCTTTAATTGATTTAGTGTTCATCAGAATGAAGCCAGGAGAAGATACCACACATGACGAGCAAATGCTTTTCTGCATTGTCTTTTCTCTGAGCTCTCTAATGACATCAATGCTACCAGGAGACATTCATTTATAGACATTACAGAGACAAAAGAACTTTCTTCTAATCCTCTATGCTTAGAAAAACTTTACATGGATGGATGGAGATTTATTCCACCTGTTTGCTGATTTTAGCCCAAGTCTTCTTCAAGCGGTAGATGGCGCTGCGATTGAGAGCAGATGTGATCTCCAGCACTCCGTTGTAGTTGTTGAGACAGCGGCAGATGTCAGCCACAGCAACCCACTTCTCGATGGAGTTGGCCCTCGAGCCCACATCGGTGTGTGTCATAATCTGTGATGCCACCAGGTTACTCATCTTCAGAAAGGAAACCAGGGGAGAATATAAAAGGATACTTACTGGAGAGTGACAGTGGGGTCAGGCACACAAAATGTGCTTAAAGACACTGAAAGAGCTTACATCATTGAAGTGTTGGCTAGTTTTCATGATAAAGGGCGTCCGCTCTGTCTTATCAACCTTCATCCAGCCCTGGCCCAGGAACTCTCTGAGAGAGGGAGGACAGAGACATCCCAGAGGTCCGAATGAGATCACACTATCTAAAATATAGCACAGTAATCTCACAAGATATAAGTTACATTAACAAAAGTCTGTGACTTACAGATATTATCACCCTTTTTCAGGATTTCTTGAAATGATTGAGCACCATAAAGAAAGAGGGGTCTCATGAAATCAAGAGAAATCAAGAGCTGCATGGTGATCGGTTTGTTATTGTTGGATGCAACTCCTTTATTCCCATCCAGCCAAAATCTAAATGTTTGAGAAACTTCAAAACAGCTTTGCTTCTAGTTTTAACTATCTAAAAGCTAGCTATAGCTATTATTTCAACTGGTTTTAAATATCACAAATCAAAGAACTGGATAATCTGTCTTCTGTCACAGATTTTTGAGAGATGGCATTATATTAGATGGGGATAGAATGAGGATTTAGCATCCATAAAAGTGATTCCTGTTTTGTTTGGCCTGACGCAGGCGACAGTGTGAGTGTGTGATGACAGGACTGACTCATAAGGAATGCTCCTGAAGACAATGTGATCCAGCAGAGTGATCTGTTCAGCCAGCTCCATGGCCGAGAGAGACTCAAAACACTCGGCCTTCGGACAATCCGCCTAAACACACACATACACACGGATATGCACCCACACACACACACACAGAGGACACACGCATACAAAGACAAACAGAGTCATAAACAAATACTCACATCATAACACAAAACACAAAATAACAAAGAGATATAAATATCTAATAAAGAAGCTGGTTACAATGACTATGAATCTGTTTTATTACATTTGACAGTTCCCCAGAGACGGTCACAGTCAGGAGAGGGTGCATTTACCCCCTCTGCTTCGAGGAGAGGACAGTGTGTACTGACAGAGGCTTTTCACTTCTTACAAAGGCAACATGTGTCTCTTTGTGATTCCCAATCATTATTAAGCCAAGACCATTAACCAGAGGCGCTCGTGAGTCCTGATTGTTTTCATCATAGGAACTGGCAAAGGGGAGTACCAGGAAATTAGGGGAGGTGTGTATTAATGTGTAAATACATTAGGGAGGCCAGTTTCATAAAACCACGTAATCCCATAGAGAGCCACATAAATATTCAAATTCAAATTGAATGTGATGTCATTCAGCAGTAACAAGACGTTTATGTCATGCAGCAAAAGGTAGAATTTCTCCTTTTATACTATAAAATATTACTCCTTAATTGATCCAACAGAATAATATGTAGCTAATCATAACATCATAACAAGATGCATTCAATGGCTCACTAAAAAGCTATTAAAGATTCGATGTGCTGCAGTTTTCTCACCATCTGTAAGATGTCCTCGATCCTCAGCTGGGCATCATCCTGCTCATCTTGAGAAAGGGCACTACAAGAAAGGGGAGTAAAGAAGAGTGTGTAGGAAACTGTTATAGTCAAGTGCTTCATACATGTGCAGCAGATTTGTGCGTATTTGTGTGTGTATGTGCTGTACCTTAGTATGTTGGCAGTAGCTTTTCTCTCCTGAGGCAGAAGGTCTGGATCTCTGAGCACCTCCTCCAGGAGACAGATCACTGACATCTTCAGCTCCCCATTCATCTCAAAGTCCTAAACACGAACACAAATGAACCTGTATACCTGAAAGGACCCTCACAGACAAACTCACAGAGTACCCTAACATTAACCTCAACTTAATTCTGATCTAAACACTAAAACTAGACCTCAACCAAAGAAGTAATTTTTTTCTTTTTTTTCTTAAAGTCTAAAACTCAAACTGGTCCTCATGAAGATAGAAGTTAGTAGTGAACAAAATCCTCTATCAGGGTGGATTTCATTTTAGATAGTGACACTGATAGTGATTTCTTGTGATAACTAGTAATGTGAGATGAGGTTTTTTTCTGAAGATTTATTTAATGTTCATTGGGACATTTGACGTAATTTAATTGATGGCAATATTATAGTCAAAAGAATAATCTTGTTTGTAGATGAGGAATTACATAACGCTGTGCAACTTGCCTGAAGTTTCAGTAACTGTTTGGGTTGGCGGACTGATGCACCATAACACATTGAAGTGGGTGTATTACGTTTAGTGTCAGAGTTCTTTCATCCAACTGTTGTCGTGTTCATTAAAATAGACCTCATTGCAAAAGCCATCTCAATATTTTCACAGTACTAAGCCACATACCAAAAGTAGTTATGAGTAAGTAACTATGCAGTTAACAGTAAAAATAAACAACAACAAAAGAATAAAAATTCAATACTGCTATAAAATCTCTCCTGGTACTCTCACGTTGTTAGATATGAAGAGAGATAGATACCACAGTATAAAACCCTGTGGCAAAATATCTGATGGTTGAAAAATGTATAGTCTCATAATATATGTTATCATTTGATCTCTAATAGAAGTACAAGACAAACACAGACCATGGGATTACATATATAAAATACCCGTGACTCCATTCTTCTCTCCATTACGACTTCCTCTCATCTCCAATATCTGACCAATCATCTGTCACTGCTGCATAATCTTTTCTTTCCTCTTCATGAGCCTCCTCATTCCCTCCAGTCTTCTTTACACCCCCTTTCCCTCCTCTTCCTCTCTCTCCTCTCTACTTCAATTCAACTCCCGTTCAAAGGTCGGTTTTAACAAGCTCTTTGTTCTTTGGCCTCCAATAGAAAAATTTGAGTGGGTGTATATGTGTGCGTTTGTGCTTGTCTGTGTGTTAATAAGCCGGCTAAAGCTGGCCTGTCATTGCAGCGTTTTGTATTATTGAAGAAAAATACATAAAACAGATCGATGTAGTTAGACTGGAAGCACCTCTACGCAGGGAGTCAGGCAATTACCTTGATATTCAATTCATTAGAGGCAACACTGGCTGTTTAGCAGAGGAGTAGGTAGGTGGACTGAGGCGGGCTGAGCTCTTCGTCCAACTGACACGGCAACAATATGCGGTGTGTGTTTATGTGCATGGGGCTGTTTACATGCTCAAGCGAGAGCAACGGAGCAGAGAGAGAACGTATCAGACACCTGCTTTAATGAGACCACAGACTTGATCACCCCAGCAAAACACCAAAACACACAGTCCTCACACCCACACACACACACACACACACACACACACCATGGTGGGTGCAGACAGACCTGTGAGTGTTTGGAGACCCAGTGGCGCAGCACGTTGAGAACTCTGTTGGTTGCAGCTCGACGGATGATGAACTCTTTATCACAAGTTCTTTCAGAGTTAGTAAAGACTGGAAAAAGAGACGAAAAGAAAAGCCACAGAGTTATTATCGCCTGATGATGGAGGGCTCTACTGTATTATAATACACCAATAAAAGCAAGATCCATCAAAAGTGTTCAAATTACCTGAATAAAAGTAACAGTATCAAACAGAAATTCTTTATTAAAAGTCTTTCAAACTTTTGCAGATGTGTTTACATTAAAATGTACTTAACTATTAAAAGTTTGTATTTTGAAAATAGTTCCCTTTCAGAGTTTTAATATAGAGACATCACGTGCAGCAGTGTTTTTTAACGGGTCAAAAAAATGAAGGTAAACCATTTTCATATGTACTACTTCTTTTACAGAAAATGACTTCCGATGAAAACTGTTCACACAAAAGTGCAGTGTATGGACTATCCACAGTAAGCAGGACAGTGTTTCTACAGAGAGTGAATTTTTTGAATATGTTTTTTTCCATTCTCTGACCTGCAATCAATTAATTTCATATCTATTTTATTGGGGGTATCAATCTGATATCTGGACAAATAAAAACAAAACTATCTGCTTTTACAGTACGTTTAATCTGTGTGTGTGTGTGTGTGTGTGTGTGTGTGTGTGTGTGTGTGTGTGTGTGTGTGTGTGTGTGTGCGTGTGTGTGCATGTGTGTGTGTGTGCGTGCACGCATGTACCTGGTGGTGTACCATGTCCTGCAGCGGCTGTGGCGATTGCGAAGGCCGAGGCAGGAGAGACTGAGCAGCGTGAGTTCTCCCCTGACTGGCCTGCAGACACACAAACACATAATTATCATCAAGACCCACGGTACTGTTATAATATTTACCACTGTTTATCATACAGGTAGGGGACAACGAGTGACTATAAACGAACTTTAATTTCATTTTGACATGGTGAGACTTGATTACAGTGGCCACAGATTAAAATAACTGTGTATTATGACTGTTTTCTCGTCTTTTTTTTTTTATTTTTATAAATGTCAAATTGCCTATTGTGGTAACTGAAATACATTTGTATACAACAACATTTGTCTCATTATTCATGCAAAAGACCAATTAAAAAAAACAAAGGTATATTATTAAAAGTATACTCTGTAAATTACAGGCTACTGTACGTCTATGATAAATTTGATTGCTGTGGCTAAACAGTAATTTATACTCAGAGAGCACATTGTTTGAAAACAATGGCCAATTTTATTTAGCTCATGTATTCATTACATTGGGCATAAACATGTAAAAAAGACAAAAAATATACATGTATATTTGTATTGGTATTTGTGAGCGTTTGGAATATACTTTATAGAAATTATAGATGCAAATTACAGATCTGAAAATGTACCTGTTCCTCATTTATTATCTCTATCTTCACTGCCAATCATCAACGTTGTCATTTTTGTACAGGCACAATGCAGACCATAAATACATCTCTCATTACTGGCAATATTTCCAACAACCATATAGGAATACTCATTGTGATCACTCTGCAGCTGGACAACATACAGGATAGACTCTCCTTAATGTCATTCAGGAAGTCTATTTCACCGGGCACACCTCAAGGAAAACCTTCCTAAGACACTTACAGTCATACACACACTCTTACAAACACACAGGGCCCATTTATACCTTGGTGTTTGAGGTTTGTATTATGCTGCTGTACCAAAGATGTCAGCCTCCAGGGTCCAGAGCAGCCCGTCAGTGGGCACAGCACTGCCCACTGCAAAGGCCTCTGGCTATGATATTGTGGTCTAATTATGAGTCATAAACCACACACACACACACACACACACACACACACACACACACACACACACACACACACACACACACACACACACACACACACACACAGTGTTACCTCCAGGCTGTCTGTATCGGAGGTGTCGAGGTGTGGAGGGAGAGCGACATGGAGACATGTCACCTGCTTCACTGCTCTGAGGAGACTCTGGGATGATTTTCTCCAGCGACACTGACTCCAGAACAGCTAGACAGGAGGAGAGGAGAAGAACAAGAGTAGCAATAATGATGATGATGATGGTTATGGTCATTACTGTTGCTGCTCCACTGGAACGAAGAACTATTATACTTAAGTTCACAGGAATCACTCAGTATAACTAGTGGATAACATCATGACTTGTATTTGCTCCCTGCACATTTTCTGTGTGTGCACATGTGCTTGTGTGCAAGTGTATGCTGATCTGCATGTGTGTGTGCCTGCATTCACATCATATGCCTGCTTTTGATATTTGATTCACTCAGCAAATGTCCAACCAGAATTCTTTTGATTTTTTTTTTTTTAATACAAACATGTATTTAGCCTTAGGGACGGGCACTCCAACACAAATACATAAACACAGTGACCAGAAAAGAACCAATAATTCAAGTGTGTCTTGGCATATTAGAAAATATTACAACTGAACCAGAATATACAGTGCAAATGGATGACAAATTAGAGGAAAAATCAACATAAAGTGTGGGCCAACAAAGGCCTCCACAGCAGCTTCAGTTTTCCTTGACATAGATCTACACATCTCTGGAACTCTACTGGAGGGATGAACGCTATTTTTCCATCGGTATTCCTTCATTTGGTGTTTTGATGATAATTGTGGAGAGCACTGTCTTCCACAGGTGTGCTGTTGGGCTGAGCTTCGGTTTATTTATTCAGGTTTTTCCTTTAACTTGTCACCCATTCGTTTTTGTGTTTGACCTCAAGTACAGTAAACACCACACAGTGGACCCAATTACATGTAGCCCTACTGTAGATGATCTTGTTACAGTTTATATATTGAGGTGTTTTGCTTTGGGGAATAAATATAAAAGTTTAATTGAAACAAATATCACTTTGATATAACTTGAAAGACACAGAGAGGCTGATTGTCTCAAACTGTGAGAGGTTTCACCTGACGACTCTTCAACATTTGCTCAGAATGTCACACCAGCAATTTGTCGGTGAAAGAGAAAAGGCCAAGAGAAAGGGCAAGATCAATAAAAAAAAAAATAGAAAGATATGTAAATAACTGTATGGACATAGATATATACACTACTGCAAATACACCAACTGATAAAGAGCTAAAGAAACTGAGAGACAGTATGCAGAGGAGGTGAAGGTGGCTTGATGGTACAGCTGCTAATGGGTCTTTGTCTCCTAGTGAGTAGTTAGCAGCTGTCTCACACGTATGTGTTCATGCACACACACACACACACACACACACACACACACACACACACACACACACACGTGCGCACACATTGTATGTGTGTCAGCACATGCTAATGAAGGTCTAACTGCAGCTTGTCCTTGCCGTGCTGCTTCAGATACTGTGACAGCCATGACAATCTCTCTCCATTCTCTCGTCCGGGCTGTGTCACACCACCATTAGAAGATCTGAGCATGTACAGTGGGAAGTCAGCTTAGTTGACTCAAGCACACAAATGCAAGGAGATAATGATGTCCCACCAGGCGCCTGTTCTGCTCTTACAGAAAACACTTCACACTGCGTCGTTTGATGAGTGACCTCCAGCTCTTTATGAGCACTTCAATACGCTAATAAGACTCCACATGCGGATGCTCAGTCATGGAGAATATATAGTTTATATACTTACAGAGCAAACTGCACACACTAAGCTAAGCACGGTGCAGGAGCACAGTAGGAGAATTTTATAATATGCTAATGATTCACAATTCTGCAAATGGCTGTTACAGCCCTACAAAATAATTACAATCATTAAAGTTTTGTTTAATTTAACCTTGTTAACATACCCACAAAATTTAGGATTAAGGCTTTATTTCTTTTATACTGTCATAGTTATGGGTAAAAAGCACAATAATCATCTCTTGACTGTATTTCTAAATGCATATCACCACTAAAACATCCGAAATTTAGTGAGACAATATCTACTGTATCTTGTTTTTTCTGACCTCCTGAGGTCTAACTTCTCCTTGCTGCAGTGATGTAGAGGTGCACTCCACCATGGCATCACTGTTGGGTGTGGCTGAAGGTGCAAAAAACCTCACATCCGACCACATCTGAAGACAGACCAGCGTGGTCAGAGGTGAAAAATGCTTCTCAGCCTGCTGTTAGGTCACTCTTAAATCTCTAGTCAGATCATTTCTGGTTTAAATCTAAATTTTGTCACTTTCAGTATTTTTAAGTAGACGTTATTGTGTGGCTGCTTGTGTTTATACATTGAACCTTTTTTGACTAATGAAAAAGAGGGTTTGGTAAGGTTATTTGCACTGTTCATATTCAATAAGACGCTGTAACGTACCTCTGCGAATGCTCCGTCGCAGTTTCCCACAAAAGGGGTCGATCCTGGGCACCTCCTCTCCCTCTGCAGTCGGGCTGGGACTCTGGTCCGGGGACGTAGGAACAGGAGGAACTTGGTCTTGTTGTGGCTTGGAGTTGTTGGGTGGGGGAGAAGTGGAGGAGGGAGGCGGAGGAGGAGAAGTGGTGGTTGGGGTTGGGGTCTGAGGCGTTGGGGTCTGAGGGGTGTGGGCAGATGTAGGGCTGCTGGCAGCAGACTGGGAGGTGTTGTGGTTGACACTGAAGTTTGACAGAGGACTGGTCAGGTCCAGGCCTCCAACCCTGGCAGTGATGGGCGAGTGGAGGGAAAGCTTTCGTGCTCGGACAGGGGAGGAGGTGTGGGACGGGATGGAAAGAGGAGGAGGAGAGGAGAACTTGCGGCAGAGACGAGGAGATTTGTCGTTCATGTGTTCACCACCTCTGTTGTTCTGATTGGTGGCAAAGAACAGCTCCAAGGACCTGAGAGGGGGAGTAGGCAATATGTTAGCAAAATAATAGGATATTAAAAAAGCAATAAAAAGAGAGTGCAGGGAAATGGAGGAAAGGATGAAAAGGAAACATGTAATTTCGGCAGCTCAAAACAAGACCATGCTAGTCCCTATACCCAAAACTGTAAAAAGGCAAATAGTTTTCCTGTATTAGAGGTAAATGCCTAGTTTAGGGTCAAAATAAAATGACATAGTGTGTAATCACAATTCATAAAGAAGAAAAGAGTATTGAACAGTGTTTCAGGAAAAAAAGTGACACAAGTTTTAGTCCTTTTAATCCTATAGTTTATATCCACATCAGATGAACAGTGAAGGAATTTTAGACCTTTCTATAAATGGTTCCCAAATTTTAAGGGACAGAAAGTTGTCAGAGAAGTTTACATGAAATGACTGCATGTAATGTGACAGGGGTGAGGGACCATCAGAGAGTCATCACCAGACTATTCAGCTCCCTCAGCCCCACGGAGCTTTATAGCATATCAGCTAAATCTATTGGTTTCATGGCCTGGACCTTTACTGTTTTGACCCACTCTCACCAGGCTCATCAGTGCTGTTTGTTGTTTTTTTTCAGTGAAAAAGCTGTGATAAATCCCTACTAAGCTTGGCCAGAACCAAACAGATGACAGACACAGTTAGCGACTAGCTAGTGAAGATAATGTAGAATGTAGTGGCTAAAGAGCCAGATATTTCCTCAGTTGGTGGTGACCAAAACAGAGCTAAAAAAAAAAAAGAAAGAGAGAGAGAGAGAGAGAGAGAGAGAGAGAGAGAGAGAGAATGCTGGATTTACATTGGACAAATGAATGCTAATGTTGCTTCATGTTTACTCTAAAAATGTCTCGGTCTTGGTGGGACTATGTATAAAAAGGGCTAAAACTGCTCTACCAGTGTGGATGTGAATATCCTCAAACACCTGATCCTGTGCCTGAAACAGGAACATTATAATCAACAAAAATACATCCAGTTCAGAGATTAGAATAGCAAAAAAAAATCATCTATCTTTTATTGAAGGTTACATTTGGAATATTTAAACGCCTTATTTACTAGGCAATGAAGGTGCAAGAGTTTTAATCAGCAAGCATTTCAGTTTTCTGTTCATGATGACATTCACACCACTCAGAGTCATGTGTACAGAGCTACATCAAAGGAGGCGTAATCATGCATAGATAAACACAGCCATCATTTTTTGACATGAGCCTGTTATTCAGCAGGAAATAGAAGAACAATTTGCATCCGTGATTGAAAGAGGGTGGGGAGAAATGAAAGGAGGATAGATGAAAGGCAGAGAGGAGGAATGCTGAAGAAATCTGAAGCAAGCACCGGAAAAAAGAGGAAGCAAGCACCAGAATATGCTCAGCAGAAGGATACAAAGCAGACTGAAGAGGAATGACAAGAAAGATCAATATGGATACAGAAGGAAAATCCAGCCTTGAGGAAGCGATGCTCCAGTGAGAAAACATGCTACAGACCAGCTGCAGACTGAAGACTACAAAATATTTTCCCCTCTCCCATTCCTGTCTATGTACCATCGACCTAAAATGTCTAAAACAAATGAAATTACGACCCCTGTGAGTTGTTATTCACTCTTATAACGAGAAAAAAGTCATTAAAAAGTCAAAGTAAAGGGAAAGTCATGCATCAGTGAAGAATCAGACCAAGACCAGAGAAGAACAGGCAGGAAAAGTAGGAAAGAGGACAGAGAGAGAAGAGTTGGTTACTTGGACTGATCCATGGCTATCTTCTTGATCTTCAGGCTGTAGTCGGGACAGATGGATGAGATGGACAGACGGTCAAATGAGTGGTACTGCGCCCTGTAGTTGGAGGGGACACGAAGAGATGGATGACACAGAAAAATGATTAAATGGATGGGTGTGATGGTTGGATTGAGACATGTGAACGCCAGTAGGGGATGTGACGGAGATAGAAGATGGTTTGAGGGAAGATGATAAATGAATCTCTTGGAAGAGGAAAGGTGTGTTTGAGGAGGAGGAGGAGGGGGTGAGTCGGAGAACTATAGCATGAGTTCAATTTCCCAGATATAAACACATACTGACCACAAGGGAGAAAAAATCCAGTACAAGAACGACGCAGGGAGCTTTGTTAATGTTTGTGAACCTTTGCATTTCTGCATGTGTGTGAGCATGTGTGTGTCCATAACAGTAGCATGCAGAGACTCTCTAACAGAGCCAACCAAAGGGGTTATTTTAGTTCCAGGTTCAAGGTTCAAAGTTCAATCTAAACATATGTAAAAGACAGGAAATGCAGTTCACCTATCTTTGTCATAAGATAGCCATTAAAAGACATTAAATTAGTATTACCAAGATAAGACATGAAAGACAGCATCCACAAAACTATAAAGAGCCATAAAATATAAACACACAAGATCAAAAAACTATTAACAGACTATGAGAATACATTAAATCTACTTCATAAAGCTGCTATTGTACAGTCTCTCTGGAGAATGAAGGATTTAAAAAAGAAGGACACTTGGGCTACTCATGTGCCAAACTGTAATGACATTAAGGACAAAAATTAGACACAACCTATTTAAGTAAAGGTTTAAGGAGGGGGACTTTCCCCACACACCCGCACCACACTTCCTGCACACCTCTGGTCCCTGCACGAGTCCTTCGTGTTCTCTTCCAATGAAGGACGCCACAGGCCATGGTGAGTTAAGCTTTGCATACAAACCTGCCCCAGGCCAAAGGAAAAGGCAGAGCTTTTCCAGTTCAAAAGCTAAGTGAAGTAAAGCAGAGGAAGGAATATAAACACACAATCTTGATGCAGCCAGAGTCTAATAAGAAAGAGAGAACATAGGAAAAGCAGAGAGGAAGAGAGAGAGAGAGAGAGAGAGAGAGACCTCTCATTTGACACACAATATATTCCTATGCTGGTGCCAAAAACTCTGTTGGAGCATCTGTTCTGCTGGCCTCCACACACAGGCTGGTATGTATTTCAGCCAATATGTATTTAACCTTGTGGACATAGGTGGAAGCTGCCTGCCGAGTCCAAAACACTGACCCACACCTGACTACATCATTCACACATTAAAAAAAAAAAAAGAAAAAAGAAAGAAAAGAAAACTCACAAAATACCAATACACATCCTTGTGTGATTCCTGTTTGTATGAGTACAAAATCATATAACCACAAATATAGATAGACACACACGCACAAATTGGCATGGACAAATGTGCAAAAGTTCATTAAAAAAATAGGTGTGTGATTTCTGTCTGTATCTGTGTTTGTGACTGTAAATTTGTGTGAATGCAGTGTATGACCTGATAGGTATGGAGGAAAAGGGCTTCTTGTAGATGTCGGCCAGTTTGTCCATGACCACCGTTGCTGTGGTGAAGATCCTGTATGTGTGCAGGAAGGTGTTGAGGAAGTCTATGGAGAGGAAACGCAGGTCGGTCAGCCTCTCCAGCAGCCGTTCCACGCTGGCGTAGCGGATCTGGGGGACCTTGCAGGAGTTGAGCGTCTTGCTGAAGCAAATGTCAACATCATCTTTATGGAGACGCACATCGGATCTGATGGATACACACGTAACACACATACACATACACATAACCGAGCATCGGTGACTGGTTGGGCTCCTAAGCAAGGAAAAGGTTATGAAAGGAGCTGAGCAAAGACAAAATGAATACAAAACCCACTTATTTCAAAGAAGGGGGCTAAAAATAAGAGTGAATACCAAATAATACTGTCAAGCAAATTTCAGCATCAGCATAAAGAAATATGAAAAAAACCATAATACATAACATACAGCCTAAAAATTTACTGTTCATCAACATAACTGTAACATTTTCACCCAATAAACTCATGTTTTGCAACACCGGCATGAAGAGATCGGTTTTCCTCTTCACATACACAAACATACTTACTTGATCATATGAGGCACAGTGACTTTGGAGTTCTCCTCAAATACACTGGTCATCAAACCATTACAGCGGATATTATCTATACACTGCAAGGACAGAGAGGAAAGGAGGATAAATAATGAGAGATTAAAGTGCGAGAATGACTGAATGAGAGGGGAAAAGCAACTATATTTGCAAATTATTATTTATTATTACTCATTGTTGGAGTCTGAAACTTAAATACTGTATATTTACTTTGAAATAATCTGTCTGGCACTCATTTGTTTATCTGTGTGCTCCGTTTCAAAACAAATGCAAAGAATAGTTTTGACATGATGTCAAAAGTCTGGCTGAGAAGAAGATGGTGTGAAAAAGAAGCTATTTAAAACTGTCAGTGTATTTTTTGTCTGTTAAGAATTAATCCAGTCTGACACGCTCGTATGGTGCTACTCTGTTTGTCAAGCACTGAGGCAGTGAGCTGAACCCGCCCCTGGAGAACTGCACCCGTGTCTGTGTTTACTTATCACTAAGCCTTCTCAATGCCCAGCGGAGATGTGCTTTTGCTATTTGGAGGTTCTTGTTATTCTGTGTTTGTCTGGGCGTGTGTTTGTGCGACTTTGTGTATTACCTGGCTAATATCACTGGTCCATGCAGCCTTCTCCTGACGCGAAGGTGCCAGCAACACCACAGTGAACGAAGGTAAGTCCGATGGCTCTACAACAAGCTTAAAGTCCAGCTGACCAAATACCTGACCACCAGCTTTAGCTGTATGACAGATGAAAAAGAAAGAGCTTTTTACAGCACTTAATGATGATAACAGTAAAAGAAATACACACATAAACACACACACACACACACACACACACACACACACAGACCCACAGACACACAGAGGGTTAATTAAGCAGACCCACTATCTCCATTCTGCACACCCTTGAGGCTTAAGTGTAAAAGTGTGTGGTGAAGGTGCATGTGCATATGCATGTGATTGTCTCAGCAGCTGTGTTTGTGTGTTTTTGCGTGTATGTGAGTGTGTGTTTGCATGTGTGTGTGTGTCTGTAGGTGTTTCGTCAATCTCCCTATTTGCAAAATGAATCCACAGAAGAAGAAAAAAATAATGATGGAGCTGTAATGTTAAAAGATCAAAACCTGACATTTAAAGGGGTGAACATCTGATATTTAAGAGGAAGTAATTTCTGAACACTTATTGTCTGACATCTAATTAACCTCTATGAGTGGCGGAGGGCCTAAATGAGCCACTAAGAGCTGCCTGTGTGTCAACCAACATGCACACACTGCTTCATACGATAGATGTAGTAAACTTACACTCCTCGTCACTGGCATCTGGTTCCTCTATGAGGGTGCAGTCGATCAGGGACAAAACTCCACCTTGCTGCAAGAGTTGAAGAGAAAAGATACACAACCATTTATTGACATTAAGTGTTACAATTAATTTCTAAAATAAATTTCCTCACATATTTAAACTGCAGAGGTAAAGGTGTTCTCACCTTGAGAAGGTGCAGTTTCCCCCCGGAGCTGCGTGTGCAGACGAGGAAGTGCTTGGTAAAAAGGAAACACTGCCTTTCCCCTTCCTTCTTCAGAGAGAGAGAACCCAAGCGGACCTTACTTAGCTTCCCTCGCTCCACTGATGGCAGCTGGATCAGAGAGCCTGGAGAGCAGGAGGGGCACAGGATTACATTACATTTCATTAAGCTGACACTAAGCTGAGGCTGGCTTTACTAAGCTTTTCCAGTGGCACAAACATGCATGTATAAAAAACTGTAAAAACACATATAAAAACTTCTGCATAGATGTATTTGGTGTGTGCACCTGCCACGGCAAAAATAAAACTAAGGAGGAGATCACTGAAACGTGCAGATTTATTCGCAACATTTTCTCTCTTCTTAAGCGAATGAAAAAGCTGACAGGATCAGTAGAAGTCACGCACTGTCAAAACTGGCATTGGTGCTTCATCTCCAGAACTGTGGCTCAATTACAGCAGGAAGGAGACAGACAGTCTTTGCAAACTGTAGTAATTAGAATACCTCTTGGTGGCCACCAGTGCAGATATGAATTTTTTATTTCTCAAAAACACAACAGAATTTGAACCTGTCACTTCCTGAGACCATCCCACTAACCACTTGTCGCTTCAGGTCAGTGATGGCAAATGAAATACAATTTATTTAGTGCATTTGAGATAAAGAATGACTTTGCTTTATTAGATTAGGCTGTTTGTTCTGGCACCACGACACCACGCTAAGACCTGAGTCATCAGAGGTAATCCATTTATGTGCACGGTGAAAGAAAGAGGACTTTTAGTAGTGGAAGTATAGTTAGTCTGGCAATTTCATGTAGGAAACTGTAACAGACACTCGAGATGTGATCAAACTGTCAGTACAACACCTGATACTATACCCTCACAAAAACGTCTTGCAGAGGTTAGCACCACAACAGATTTGTAGAATCACATTTTTACTGGGCGAGCTGACAGACAGCCAAATCTCCCCTCTTGTAGAAAAGTATTACAGTAGCTAATGTCATGATTCAGTGACTGAGCTCCACAAAAGTGCCATGTCTGCGCTCTGTGAGCACAAGTTGGCAGGCAGGTGGACGTGACTGTGAAGTAAACCTCCAGAGATTTCCTGTCTGGTGAGCAGTGCTGGCAGCAAATGAAGGCTCACCCTGCCTGATGAAGGTCTGGCTTGTGTCCAGCAGGATGTCACAGCCCTCCACTATCATCCTCTCTATCGCCAAGTTCTTCCGGATGTTCTCCGTGTCACTCACCTCGTCATGCATTACTCTGGACACACACAAACACACCAGTTAGTTCAGTATTCAATATCAAAATGAATCTGGAGAGCTGATCATTCTGACAACCAGATACACACCTGGATAGTTCCTCTAATTTGGACTTGGCAAATTCAAGACTCTTGCGCTCCACATGCTCATGAGGTGTGTGTGCCAATAACTCATGCAAGGTGATGATGTAGCGGGGAATCTAAAATGAATATGAAACAGAGGCTTTTAAAACACATGAACAATTTTTAAAAAAGACAGTTTGTATTAGTGGCAATAGATGGTGACAAAACCTTTATTGCATTTGTGCTTTGGTATATTTGTAAATGTGTGTGGGTGCCCAAGCTCTACCTGGAACATGGGGTACGTGAGGAAGGTCTCAAGCATCCTTCCCTCACAGGCAGCGTTGGACTCATACTGTTTCAGCAGCTTGTCAAAGTCTCTGTTCTGCTTACAGTTGGCCAAAACCTGCAGGCTATACTGATGGTTTCTCACAAACTCCTGGTAGATGTTCAGCATGGGCAGGAGGATGTCAAATAGATCAGCTAGAAACAAAAGCACACACACATATACAGTACTGTGGAAATGTTTTCGGCCCTTTAGATGTTTCAATTCATATCAAAACATCTAGAGCATCTGAGCAGCACTATGTCTTTGGGACAGTTTGGAGGCTGCAGAGAGTCGCTATCAGAAAGTGACGAGACGGGCCAGGGCTAGCTGATTAGCGTGCCAGCTTAAGTAGCCTACAAGAAAAGACGTGATGCAGTTTTAGAGTTAACATCTTTCCACTGCAAGTAAAAGAATGAAGTTTGATGCTGGACTGTGACATTTCTTCTAGTCTGGTAAGTAAACAGCTGTTAATGCTAACGTTGGCTATGTAGCAATAGCAAAACTTACAAATAGCTCCTTTAAGTCACTGTGGACAACCAAATTATGCCTCCATTATATCGGTATATTGGTATATCATTTGTGCATGTGTATGTTAAAAGCATATTATTTTGGAAGCTAAATATTTTTGATAACAATATAAATAAGAAACATCAAATGTTACATCAAACTGATTTGATGTAAAACATACTGTTACTGCTCAAAAATCTCCATTCAGCGTCCACCTGAAACAAGGAGTCAGATAAGAGTGGCAGGTTTAATCAGTGGACCCTTTTCTTTCTGAATTTGTCACAAGTAATTTGCTGCCACGTCTTTCAGCAGTCTGTCTCCTAGGTGATGCTTATCTGTTGAAGGCGCTTCTGTTTTAGGAGGTGAAATCGTGGGATGCCTTCTGGTCTGAGTGGTCATTGTCTGTCAAGACAATGATTGTGCGTGTTGCAGACTGAGATAGGGAAATTAGTGTGTGTGTGTGTGTGTTTGTGTGAGGCAGAAAGACGTCAAGGCTGATGTTTGAATGAGACAAACTGGATGTGGAGAACCACTGAAAACCTGACCTTGACGTCACTGAGTGGCTGCAGAGCAAACAGTATGCACACAGTGTGTATTTGTGTGTTCTGTGTATTGTGTGCGTTTAAGCAACAGCTTACCCAGCACCAGAGTTGGCCAGTTGGCTATCCTTGCCTTTAAGCCTTGGTGGAAAATCTCATGTAGGAACATGATGGTCTCGCTGAACAATTTAAATGAAACGTGAAAACAAAATGACAAAAGAGGTTTAATTCTTCTTTTTAAATCCTCAGTATGTGTCTCTGCTTGTGCCTCCAACATAATTAACACTTGAATGATTCAGTTCAATGAAGAAATTAGACAGACAGAACATGTTGGATGAACACATTCACACAGACATACACACCTGTTGAGGAAGATGCTGCTGACATCGTCATGGCTGATGGGGGGTTTCTTGGAGCTGGCGGCCATCCTCAGAGGTCTGAGGAAACAGTTGACCAGGATGTACAGCTGGTGGACGTACCTGTCATCACACACACACACACACACACACACACACACACACACACACACACACACACACACACACACACACACACACATACACACACGGACAAAGAGAAAAACATTAATATTCATGACCTACATTATAAAACCATCTGGGTTTACAGCAGACTATAATGTTGTAGGAACTATTTTTCTCCTCAACACTTATATGAGCAATTATGTGCCATGAAGACAATATTAATATCTAATAGTTTGATTTTGTTTTTTGGTAATTTTGTAATATACTTTAAATGTTATCTTACAGTTTGATGATAGAATTTCCTTTTTATTTGTTTTATAGCAGAGAGTAATGGATAACTAAGGTCTTACCCTGTTTGCCCACTACCGTACATACTGTGCACACTACTAATGATCTGTGTGAAAGTATCTTTTGAAGTCACCAGGGGCCTGTTTCACCAACTTTGCTACATGCAAGTTGTGATTTGCAACATGAGATAATTGCGAGCGATGGTATATTGTGTAATGTGAAGCTACCACCACCAGCAATCAGTGTGTGAGCAGTGCTCACATAACACTTTTGTAAAAGGGGCCTTGGGCCTCAGCACTCTATTACTCCTGCATTATATACAACTCAGTTTAGTCAAATATATTTCACTCATAACTCATTACAGCACTAGGTCGTATTCAGTCATCACAGCTTAACTTGGTGCAGACACAAACCCTCAAAGCCTCAGATCAGGAGATCTGATTTATCTGAATAAGAGGAAGTGGTTTTGTCTGCCAGTTAGAGTCTGTTAATGCGACTGTGATTCAGTTCAGTTTAATCTAATCCAATAAAAAAATCATAAAAATAGAGAGAAGTTTGATTTGCAGAATTGTGTGGAATGATCTCATACAACAAGAGATATTAAAGTGACATCTACTTCAGTTTACATGTTATAACATAAATATCTGACAAATCTCTGTCTCTTCATAGTATTTATCATCATATAATCCAATCCTACTGCACAGTGCTGACAGTACAACACATCATGTATAGCATCCTTCCCTGATGTGAGATGTGAAGTGAGATAACATCATGTACTGCAAAGCTCGACAACAGTGACAACTATCTACAGTGGGAGCTACTGTACCACTCTAGGCATAATGTAAATTTACATACTCTGTCTCTGCCTCCACCATGTTGAAGACGATCTGGTTCCTCTTCCTCATGCTCTCAGCGTGAGGGGAGCAGATGTAATCCTGAACGATGATCTTCCACTTCCTCCGACAGAGCCAGCCCCGCATGAAACTCTGCACCTGAGTAGATACAAAAAGGCAAGCTTAGACAAAGGTGCATGGAGCACACCTGGCATAGCAACATGCGAGCAAATGATGAATTAGAGATCTCACTTTACAGCAACCATAAATACATGAAACTTAGATTCTACAATATCTGAACACATAGAGTTGATTTATTTACCTTTTTGATCTTCTTGATGTCTGGGTCTTCATTTTCATGGTTGATATGGTAAGGCCGCATTCGCTCCTTGGTTTTGTTCAGAGCTACAATCTTTGAAGAGAAATTTTAAGAGAAAGAAATGTGGGTGATTAAACCTGCGCCCAAAAGACACATTAAATTAAATCACATTAAATAGAAGCAACAGTCTTCTGAGGTATAAAGTGATAGGGTTTCAGTGATGAGGATATTATACTCCAAATGGGACCAGCAGCCATTTGTTTGAATATTGTGTAGGTGATAGTCATTGACTGGTGCTCAGTGAACTGTTGTGTTTTCACCAGATAGACATCAGACTTCCTCATCTTTGACAATCTGGTGCCTTCATTCAGAAACAGAGAATGACAGAGACGGGGGGGGGGGGGGGGGGGGCTGCTATCAGCTGGTGACAGTAAGCAAATTAAGGCTTATATGTGCCTGATCACCGGTAGTGCATTGTAGGGCACAGCGGGGACTGAAGACAAAGTATAATCCACTGCTGCTCTATTTCCAGCAGAAACCAATCTACGGAAACCATAATATAAAAGCCTCTTAACGAGCCAATCTATTTAATTATGTCGGTTCTTGTATCATTTTTACACTCATAAAATACTCTCTTCAGACAGCAGAGTCAGATTAACCTTTAGACATGTGACATTTACTCGCTGCAGGTGAGAAAAAACCAACCACCTACCACAAATTTAACGTCATCTACCAGGTTTGAAAAGTGAGCCATATGTGAGACACATCACAAAGGGATCGAGCCAGGCTCAAAATATCATTAAGCTGTTGGAAAAAAAAACCTCACTTCACATTGTAGACCTAATAATAGATAGATCCACTTCTCTGTAAAAACCACTGATGAATTTCAAACATTGCTGGTAAAAGGTTTTTCTTGGCAACACTGCCTTCTGGTTACGACTGGCTCTGCTACTATATCACTTTAACCTGTTTGTTTTTACCTCCAGGCCTCTTGACAACATCAGTTTATCACATAATGAGAGGAGCATGAAACATGAAACCAAAGCCATTTTCAGCCACACACTTTCATCGTCATTTTCTTATTCACTAGCGCTATCATGCAAATGGCAGCAGAGAGGAGCCTGTCTGCCAAGTGTTGACAGTTACAGTGGCTAGTTGGTTTAATTATTCATAAACACGGAGCAACACACACATAAAACAAACAAACAAGAGTACGTTTTAATGAGATGGATCATCAATTGCACACTGGCACTCAAAGTCTAATCCTTTTTTCATGAGCCGCCCCATTACACAGGCAGATGTTTCCTAATATAAAACGTCTTTCGTTAGCATTTTCATTATGAACCTGGCTCACTGTATCCTGCCAATGAGATATAATAACAGTGTGTAGATGTGAGCAGTGCCACACTTGTTGCTCCAAGGGAGAATTACAACTAAAAGCAGCGTAACAGACTAATCCATTCAACATAGTGTGATTTCCTCCCAAAGAAAGAAATAGTGTACACGAGCAAAATGTTTATACAAGCGACTAGTGACACAGATGAGCAGAGACCGAATTGGAAATGACTTTGGGGGTGTGATTTATGGAAATGTTAGCAGCTGGCCCGATGTGTAAATGGCGTCCCCTGTGGCCAACTGCTGCCTGGACCAGAATTCAATTTCAGTCAAACACCTGTACCTTAAGAATAACTCTGCATTGCCTTCTGGCCATCTCTGCGCTACATTACAGAATACACACATAGGAACCACTTTTCATCTGGTACAACAGAGACACTCAATGATCTGGCAAATCACAGCAAATCTCCAATTAGCAGTTACATTTTAAAACACTGTAATGGTAATGTTTTATTTTACTGGTCCACAATTTATGAACAATTCACTAATCATGTCATAGTTTCTTATTTTCCTATAAAGAATCACTGTATTTGGTTCAGCTGATGCAAATAAATCCAGTTAACTGGTAGTGAAACATGTTTTTGTTAGGTCAGCTCAACATGCAAAAATGGGAAATCTCTCTACAGGCCAGTATACAATTCAACATATATGGAGAATGTTTTTTTTCCAGGAAACTTTCACAGAAAGAGTTTGATAATTATTCAGAGATCACTGACCCATAAAATGAAACTTTCCCAAGTAAGTTTGATACAACTCCTGCAAACACACAAGCTCTCTAACTTAGCGCTGGCTAATGTGGTTAAAGACAAACTTTTCAAATTTGTTAAACGAACATGTTAGTAAGTCATTTTGCTAGTTTTTGCTTGAAGTTATTAATTTGGACACAAGAAATTTGTCTAATGATAACATGATATATTCATGTATATTGTCAGGGGAAGACAATAAACAATGATACTGAATCATTGTTCAGCCCTAATCTAAGTGATGTTCAGGTACATGCTTGTTTCAACAGTTTGACATTGATGTCAGGATCGAAAGTGCTCACTTATTGTTTACTTCAGAGAAGATTAGAGCTATTGATATAATTACAATAAACCAATAATTACCACCTGATGTGTTTGTATGTGTGTGTGTGTGTGTGTGTGTGTGAGAGCGAGAGAGACAGAGAGAGAGAGAGAGAGAGAAAGAGAATCGTAATTAATTCTGATTAACAATGTAGTTGTGTGTTGTGTCTGAACGTGCACGTCTGATTTATTGTGCTGTGACAGCAGAACAGAAACGTGTTGCGTTCGATAAGCGTAATGGTTCGGTGGCTGTTTGTAAGGAAACTGATGGGCTGTCTCAATTGAGCAGTGGGCTTCTCCTCCTACGCTCAGAGGAGACAGAGCAACATTCACACCCACACCAGCACTGCCGTAAACACAACTGTAAGAAGAGACACACACACACACACACACACACACACAATGCACACCCATAGTGTTATGGGTATACTTATATACATGTGTTTCTTCTTGGATCAGTCCTCACATGATTCATGACAGGAGAGTAATCATAGAGCTATGTGGTGGGCGTGCTGGTGAGCGAGTGAGCGAGTGAGTGAGTGAGTGAGTGAGTGATGCCAACTTTGTGCATGTATTCCATATTCCAGTGCCTGAAAAAAGCTACAAAAAAGTTTATGGGAAATGTGGTCTTGATTACTAGGATTCTTACCTTTGGCAAAGACTATGGTCTATTTGTTGGGGCAGTTACAACCAAATGTAAACTTCTTAAAGGCATGAGGTGAAATTAAAAAATAAATTCTCCCAAGTTCTTATCCTGTGTCCCTGTGTTCAAATATATCAAATACATGTCAAAGCTTTTCTATGAAACCCCTCTCTTTCCTCTTCCTGTAAAACTATTGTGAACTGAATGAATTAATCCAATCAACTATTATTTGTGATGACTAGCTAACCCCGTAGTAGCAGCTAGCAGAGTGATACCATAGGAGTGATAGATGTCAGTTGGCAAAAGACGTGTTTACATTTCCATCACAGCCTGATTATGCTTTAATTCATTCATTTCTGCCTCTTCCTCCACCTCCTGATCCAACAGTGTGGTTGAGGAAGGTGTGAGAGGAGATCTCCTTTAAAATGATACACATGCCTTCAAGCTATATAATCCTGCTTGATTTGGAAATGCCTGTATTTGCTCTTGGTAATGAAAATGAGGTTTGATATGATGAAAACCTTGAGGATTATACCTTCATGGTCTGTGTGTGTGTGTGTGTGTGTGTGTGTGTGTGTGTGTGTGTGTGTGTGTGTGTTGTACCTCAGCTTTGAGCCTCTCAATTTCTGTGTCCTGATCCTCTAGCTGCGTGCGCAGCTGATTGGCAGCCACCTTCTCAGTCTCCACTATCTGTATGAGGTGGATGTATTTCTGCATCAGCACCTCCCTTTCGATGATGATGTCAGAGTAACTGAAAATAAAAGAGAAGTCCACAAATACATACAGAGAAGAAGAAGCACACAACCTCATACAGGTAAATAAGACACTAATACGACACTGGACTGCATTCAAATATGATAAGTATTACTCTGTACAAGACATTGCCATTCCCATTGCTTGCTGCTGTCCCCTCTATGTGTTATGGCAGAAAGTAAAGGAATAACAAAAACACACTAATGATAGCTGAAATCACAGTCAAATGAATGCTGCTGGATGAATCTATTGTATGCTTATGCACCCTGTGGGAAGCCTGAAAGGACCATACTGATGGTTTGGTATATTTTACCCTGTTAACAATAAATGTCTTTACTGATGCTGCTGACCATAGTGTATTTTAGAGGATGCCGTAATTTCCTTTTACGACTGCACCTAAAGCTGGGTTTAGACTTTGCAGACTTATTGAACAGCAGTGGTGTGACTCCATCCACCTTACTGCCACATCTTAAGCAGTGCCATTTAATGTGGGTTTAGACAGCAGCTCAGAAGGTCTGAATAGTCACTGACCACTCAGCTTGAATCCGAGAGAAACATGAAAGCACAGATGACACCACAAGAAACTAATGAACTTGAGGTTGTAAAGCACCAGCTATAAAAAATTACAAAGCAATACCCACCTGCTTCGAAACCATCAAGTGTACATTATCTTTCTCAGACGTTTCAGATCATTGGGTTTGTATATCTGCCAGTTTGGTTTTCCCACAGTGGGGGGCTTGTGAATGCAGTGATTCTCAAAACTAAAATGTCATAGCCTCAGTGAATTAACCAGAAAGGAAGAGCTTTCAAAAGTCATGTGCAGTCCAGATGCAGATTGACAAAAAAATATCTATGAAGCAATATATAAAGCAAGTTTCAAGTGAATTCAGCACTGAAATGAACTGAAAGTTAAGAAACAAGTGCAAAATGTTTTGGGATTCTTTGGAAAATAACCAGTTTTGTGGTCAATTATACATGATTTATATTTAATGGTCTACAACATGCAAAACCACCAGTATGGCCTTTTAAGTTCATTTTAATGCCCTCTAATGTTAATGTTCTGTCACATTAAATCAAACCGTGGTCATGCAATCTGATGTGCTACACTATTTCCTTTCCAGGCAAAGGAAAAGGGAGAAAGCACACATTTTCTGGCTAACAAAATAAACACTGCTAATATTATTCCCATAGGAAATAGCCTTTATATAATCCTGTGTGTATACCTGGCCTGCTGGATGGCCTCCACCCATTCATCACACTCACTCTCCTCCTCTGTCCGCAGCTCCAGTGGTTTCTGTCCATCATGACCAAACACGATGAGGAAGTAGTGCTGCAGAGAGAAAAAAAAAGATAACGAGAGAAAAGCGGTTTATTTTTGTGACCCTGAGACCAAAACAGCTTCAGCACCACTCCTCAGTGATGTCAGCAGTCTCACTTTACAGCACCAAGATGTTTTGAGATGCTATAGCCACAGCTAATCAGACATATGGCACAGACATATGGAAACACTACTTTTCTTGCCCAGATTCATCCCGCATAAAGTTCCACAGCCCTCGCATGAACCAAGCAGAGCACACAGACAGAGAGGGAGACAGGACGGGGGAGGGTGGGTGGCTCAACACACATGACTTATTTGCTCACCGAAATAAAACATCAAGTCTCGTCTTTGCCTCCCTTCTCCACCAGCCTATTATCATTACCATCAATTAGCCCGCTCTCTCTTGCCTCTCTCTCATTTCCTGTCTGTCTCTCTTATTATTCTGATGAGTTTCTCTCAGTATCTGCCCTTAAAATGCTCCCCCACTCTCACACACAGACACATGCCTAAACATGCAAGCACATACACCTACGGTAGAGCACACACATACACACCAGACATTATATGAAGTGATAGAGGCTTTTATTCAAATGGTCATGTCCCGGGGCACTGGGTTACCAGAAGAGCTGCTATTCTTAGTCAGGGAAAACAGAGAAGACTGAGCTCTGCATGGACTTTCTCTTCTATTCTCTTCATCCAACCTCCTCTTTCCTCCTCCCTCTCTCTTTGCACTTCACCTATCATCCCACTCCGCCTCCTCTGCCCAGCTCAACCAGCGTCCTCACTTCTCTTGTTGTCGAAACCCACTCCTCCTCCTCCATCTCCATATCTCTCCATACTTTCATCTCTTTGTGTCTCTCTCAGTAAGGATTCAGTGAACCAAACCGAGTCCGGAGGAGAGATGTTTACCCTGCAGGAGGATGGATGGGCTTCGGCCCCTGCAGTGGGGATGGGCTGGGGACAGAGCCACCAAGGTTATTGGAACACACACACACACACACACACACACACACACACACACACACACTCCTCCATCTCCATCTCATCTTCCTATCCTTGCTTTTTTATGTATCTGTCATTTCGATTCACTGGCTGGCTGGATTTTATTACATCAACAATAATCTGTGCTCTAATGGTGTTTGACAGGGAGAAAGAGAGACAAAGAGGTAGAGAGAGAGAGAGAGAGAGAGAGAGAAAGAGAGAGAGAGAAAAGAGAGAGACTTGTTACATAATATTTCTTAACCCAATACATATTTCTAAATTGTGTCACTACCCAACAAGATAGCATTTCCATGGCAACCCAATATCTGACGCTTCGGCTGTGTTTTGCACTTCCATTTTCTGCTTTTCAGTGCTGCCTCTATTCATTTAATGCTTTTATTGATCCATCCTGCAATTTTAAACATGAGAAGAGACCATTAAGTAGAAAATGAATCAATTCAGATGAATGCAGATTTTAGAGCTCTGAATGGATAATCAGAGCCTGTGTTATCTGCACATTTTAGATAGTATGGTATATATTATAAGGTTTATAGATTTTTATTCCATTCACATTATGTGTAACTATGAAATTTACCTGTCTTTTATTTATACTTGAAAGAAAGTAGCAATGTAAAAACATTATGTCACAAGTGAGAGTACTGAATTTACGATTTAACTTAAGTTAAAGTATAGAAGAATTATTAGCAAAATGTACTTAAATATCAAAAGTCATCCTCAAAAGCCCATATGCAGGCAGAATGGTCCCTGCCATGATAATGGAAACACTCAAGTAATTTAAAAGTACCTTGAAACTGTACTTAAAGGCACCCTGGCAAGTTTTGGACCACTAGAAATAAAGCAGTTTTCACAAGCAGGTGTCTGTAAATTCACATGCACATGAGAATGTACATGCAGGCCTGCGGTTGACAGCTGGTGGTTGTAAAGAAGCATCGCAGTGTCCTTGCAAAGATGGTGAGGAAGAAGGCTGCAGCTAGCAAACAAGGATATGAACAATGAATTTAAAATATTCTAAAGATTCTGCTTTGCACATGTACTGTGAGGAAGGAAATGCATTCAACATGTTTGTTAGAACTATAGGATACACACACATTTGGTGAGGAAAAACTGTATAACCAATGCTAATACAATCCACCACTGTTTATATTGAATATGGCATCACCATACTTTACATCACTTAAATCAGGGGTCCCCAAACTACGGCCCGCGGGCCACATCCGGCCCGCCAAAGCAATTGGAGTGGCCCACTTAACGATCCCAGACAATCCCTCTAAACATCAACCAATTTTTATTAAATTGCATTTTCCTATCATAACATCATAACATATCCGTACTTAAAGGTTGGCATTCTAATTAAAATTGACCATACTTATGAGCTATTTATAGTTAATAGTGGCTCATCTTCACCTCCTCACACAATGGTATATTCTGACGTGACTTTGATCATGACCGAGCCAGCGTCAAGCTGCAAGTTCTGAGGTGGGAATCTGTCATGAAGGTGGTTGTGTCCTGCATAAACTTCATCAGAGCAAACGGACTTAAACACAGGCAGTTCCAAGCCTTTCTCTCCGAGCTAGAATCAGCCCACGGAGACGTGCTTTACCACACTGAAGTCCGCTGGTTAAGCTGGGGCAGAGTTTTGAAGCGTTTTTACGACCTGCTACCCGAAATCAATGCCTTTCTCCTGACAAAGGGAAAAACTGTCCCAGAGCTGATCGACACAGAATGGAAGTGGGACCTCGCCTTTATTAACAGATGTGTCAGAAATTTTAAACGGCCTCAACTTGCAGCTCCAAGGCAAGGGAAAACTAATCTGACATGTATTCCCACATCAAAGTATTTGAGCTTAAACTAGCGCTGCTTATTGGACAGGT